CTGCTGCTCCGGTGGGCGGCGCTCCGAGCGGGGTCACCTGGCAGTCTCCGGCCACCTAAATTAGGACCCGGAGACTGCCAGATGACCCCGCTCGGAGCGCCGCACACCGGAGCAGCAGTGACGCGACGCTCGGCGAGGTAAGTAAGATGACACCTGGCGCTGACTCGAGTATAAGCCGAGGGGGGCACTTTTCACCCAAAAAAATGGGCTGAAAATCTCGGCTTATACTCGAGTATATACGGTACTTTCCTTTTAAAAGTAAGGAGGCCTTTACTTCTGACTTTCCTTTAGAAAATGCTAATTTCCCAGTTGTCCTGCTGGTTTCAGTGCTTTCTGAGTCACTAACCCAGGATTAGTAGGCAGATCAAAGATTTGACTACTCAACTTTCAGTAGCTTATAAAGAATTGGAGAGGCTGGCTTCACATGACAGCTAGCATTTTCAGGAACAGTCCAGCAATAGCAGAAATTGTGTTTCTCCGGTTTGCTTTACCAGAAACAGGTGGTGGTGAAAACCAATCACTGAATTGCACTCACAGATCATTAATAATACGTCTGTGTAGTGTTCTGTTAGCAAACTTTACATCAGTCTTTACCTACTTTGAAGTTAATGTATTTTTATTCCCATTAGAGATTTGTATTTACAGTCACTTCAAAGAGCACCGTGTCTCCTGTTCTCATTAATGGTAAGTGCACTTGAACTGTTTAAAGCCTTACAGCACAAATCCAGACAGGAATTCCTGCCAGCAGAAACGGACATTCTATTAATGCTCTGCATCCTTCATCTCATTGTTTCATCACTAGCCTAAAGGCCATACAGAAAAGGCTGGAGATCTTCCCTATGGTGTGAGACACTTGTCCCCTCCAGGGAATGGCATCACTCAGTGATTAACGTACACTGCTGAACCTGCACGGAGGAAACAAAGTGGTAATCCCTGCCGGGTAATACCGTTGTGATCCTTAACCATGCAACGTTCATATTTTAGATATTAGGTGGAGAATGTTGGCCGAGTCAGCTACTGGAATCTTGGATAAACAGAGATCTCTTTGCCCTATTTTCTCATTCTAGTCATTTCCACCTGGGAGTTTTTAGTGTTCGTGACCACCTGTGTGTTCTAGCTCCTCCGGTTACATTCTCCATACAATACAAAAAATATAGAAAACCAGATGTGGGAGCCCCTCATATCGAGCCCAGCAGGGGAACAAACTGAGGAACTATGTATTCAGATTATGTATTTTTAAAGCAGAACTAAGGTCTGTTGTGTGGGGTTGAGCTTGTCATGATGTGTTGCCAAACTGGCTGGGGATCCTAAAACTGGAAAGAGGCCGAGTGAAGATGCCTGTGCCGGTGAAGGAAGACGAGTATAGTCTCACTTTAATGAAGCAGACCATGTCACTGAATATATGAGAAGCTCTGAAATCTTCCCACACTGGATTGCACAGACCTATGATTAAGTGGACTTCTTGACTTTGCGTTTCCTAGATAGCAGTTCACTGGAGGAATTCACTTGTTGCCTCTTTAAAATAACTCAAACCTCCCTTTGATGACCTTACCTGGGCACAAAGACATTCTGAAGGTGTTTGAGGATGATCTGGATGTACATATTGGGCTCTCTGATAATTGGTTGGGGAATGGAATCCTTCGGAGCCACCAGGGCCATGATCCAATCGGTGTATACATCCACACAGTATTTCACTGTGTCTCCCTCCAGTGGTAACGTCAGCCCATAACAAATGACCTCCATGGTCCATTTCACCTGGAATGTAAGAAATGGCTCATTTTAGTCCATCATTTACCAACCATTATAAAACCCTTAGAGACTTGTTTGCCTCATATAAAATAATCCAAGCTTAATAAACAGATTTACCCGACGATGAGATAATGAAAACTCAAGTATATTGCCTAAAGAAATGCTTAGCTTACTCTAAAAACAATCAGCATAATACAAGTTCTATAAGGGTGCATATTTAGGCACTGTTATATCAATGTGCATCAGGGTTTTGAAAAAGATGCAAGCTTGGGACCATTTAAGTATATGTGATCAGTTGGTAAAATTAGGTACCTCGGCTTATATTCGGGACGGCTTATACTCGAGTATATACGGTATATGCTCATTACATATGCTGGCGTTAGCTCTTCAGGGAACATCAATTGGGCAAGTTAGGCTCATTTTTAAAAATGTATTTTATTGTTTATCCGATTAACCGATTAATCGAACTTAATAATCGGCTAACTAATCGATTTTGAAAATAATCGTTAGCTGCAGCTCTACAACATTGGCCTTTACCGGTGACTTTGTTCCCCACACCTCTGTTAGGTAGACAGCGGTTCTGGGAGGATTTACTGCCCTTATGATGGTCAAATCATGACCGCACATCCCACCACAGACTAAGGCTGGGTGAACATAGGCGATTTCTAGCAGTGCGAGCGTTTTACTAAAATTGGCCTCAATTATTTCTACAAGGTCTAGAATATACAGTACATGGTGTGCAGACATTCTAGCGTATGATTTCCTGTTATACAACCATTTGTTGAAAACAAAGCTTACAGTTAGTTGCCGGTCTGTCGAAAAGATCAGGCTTAGCAGTTAACATGTTTCTGTCTATATTAATAGAACATTTTTCAGACACTGGAGAGCAGGCCTGTGCTATTTTTATCTAGTCAGAGTTGTTGAATTGGGAGATCTTACCTCTTTATCAGTTTTCAGTATGCTCTCGCTTCCAGCGGTGGAAGGGGAATTGAGTGCCTGTCCCAACGGACGGACCACAGCATTGGCGACTTCGCGGCCCACATTTTCAGGATAGCTGTGCAGCACACTGGTGTGACCTTGGTCATTCTTGATAACGAGGTGCAACGTCCGCCACTCCGAGTAC